TTGTGTGTGGCTGTGTTTTTCCCAACGTTGTCGCTGTGGGAGGATGTTGAGTGGTCAGAAGCGTCCCCGTGGCCCAATGGATAAGGCATCCGCCTACGAAGCGGGAGATTGCGGGTTCGAGTCCCGTCGGAAACTTCTCTTTTGCACACTTCAGATTCTCTTGCCATGATTCATCCGTTTTGCCTTCTACGGGCTGTAACGATTCATGCCGCTCTGACACTCGCTTTTAACTATTTGCAATGCGCCCTCAAAACTGAAAGGGACTCGTCCGGAATGATGTCCGCTATGCTCATCAACCTCACCCCTGGACTTTCACGTTAAAGTTTTGACTCTGCAATCCGGTCGGCCAACATGGTCTCCACGCTTACTTCGTCTGTTGATTTTGGTCTGCCGCCCATCAATACCTGTGGTTCTTGTAGCGATATGGGTCGCCCGCTCGCAGGCTGTGCTGCGAGGACGTCCACCACTACCGCTTACAGCGAATCACATATCTAAACTGCCCGCCAGCGTGAGCACAGCCTTGGCTGTTGACGAGCCGTTCACGACTACCTGCCCCGACGTAGACAGCTTCGTCAGTCGTCCACTGTGAGCAGGTAGAAAGTCGAGCTTTGCTAGCCTGCCGCCAAGCAGCGGTGGACAGTCTAGATGAGTGTGAGTATGCTTCAGAGTCCGTGAGGGCTCCCGTGTGTGTGGTAGCGCGTGTATGAGTAGCGTAATCGATGCCTTTTGTGTGTGGCTGTGTTTTTCCCAACGTTGTCGCTGTGGGAGGAGGTTGAGTGGTCAGAAGCGTCCCCGTGGCCCAATGGATAAGGCATCCGCCTACGAAGCGGGAGATTGCGGGTTCGAGTCCCGTCGGAGACTTCTCTTTTGCACACTTCAGATTCTCTTGCCATGATTCATCCGTTTTGCCTTCTACGGGCTGTAGCGATTCATGCCGCTCTGACACTCGCTTTAACTATTGCAGTGCGCCCCCAAACTGAAAGGGACCCGTCCGGATGATGTCGCTATGCTCATCAACGCACCCTGTACTTCACGTAAACTTTTAGCTCTGCAATCCGTCGGCAACATGGTCTCCACGCTTACTTCGTCTGTTGATTTTGGTCTGCCGCCCATCAATACCTGTGGTTCTTGTAGCGATATGGGTCGCCCGCTCGCAGGCTGTGATGCGAGGACGCACACCACTACCGCTTACAGCGAATCACACATCTAAACTGTTCGCCAGAGTGAGCACAGCCTTGGCTGTTGACGAGCCGTTCACGACTACCTGCCCCGACGTAGACGGCTTCGTCAGTCGTCCACTGTGAGCAGGTAGAAAGTCGAGCTTTGCTGGCCTGCCGCCAAGCAGCGGTGGACAGCCCAGATGAGTGTGAGTATGCTTCCGAGTCCGTGAGGGCTCCCGTGTGTGTGATAGCGCGTGTATGAGTAGCGTAATCGATGTCTTTTGTGTGTGGCTGTGTTTTTCCCAACGTTGTCGCTGTGGGAGGAGGTTGAGTGGTCAGAAGCGTCCCCGTGGCCCAATGGATAAGGCATCCGCCTACGAAGCGGGAGATTGCGGGTTCGAGTCCCGTCGGAGACTTCTCTTTTGCACACTTCAGATTCTCTTGCCATGATTCATCCATTTTGCCTTCTACGGGCTGTAGCGATTCATGCCGCTCTGACACTCGCTTTAACTATTGCAGTGCGCCCCCAAACTGAAAGGGACCCGTCCGGATGATGTCGCTATGCTCATCAACGCACCCTGTACTTCACGTAAACTTTTAGCTCTGCAATCCGTCGGCAACATGGTCTCCACGCTTACTTCGTCTGTTGATTTTGGTCTGCCGCCCATCAATACCTGTGGTTCTTGTAGCGATATGGGTCGCCCGCTCGCAGGCTGTGCTGCGGGGACGTCCACCACTACCGCTTACAGCGAATCACATATCTAAACTGCCCGCCAGCGTGAGCACAGCCTTGGCTGTTGACGAGCCGTCCACGACTACCTGCCCCGACGTAGACAGCTTCGTCAGTCGTCCACTGTGAGCAGGTAGAAAGTCGAGCTTTGCTGGCCTGCCGCCAAGCAGCGGTGGACAGCCCAAATGAGTGTGAGTATGCTTCCGAGTCCGTGAGGGCTCCCGTGTGTGTGGTAGCGCGTGTATGAGTAGCGTAATCGATGCCTTTTGTGTGTGGCTGTGTTTTTCCCAACGTTGTCGCTGTGGGAGGATGTTGAGTGGTCAGAAGCGTCCCCGTGGCCCAATGGATAAGGCATCCGCCTACGAAGCGGGAGATTGCGGGTTCGAGTCCCGTCGGAGACTTCTCTTTTGCACACTTCAGATTCTCTTGCCATGATTCATCCGTTTTCGGGCTGTAGCGATTCATGCCGCTCTGACACTCGCTTTAACTATTGCAGTGCGCCCCCAAACTGAAAGGGACCCGTCCGGATGATGTCGCTATGCTCATCAACTCACCCTGTACTTCACGTAAGGTTTTAACTCTGCAATCCGTCGGCAACATGGTCTCCACGCTCACTTCGTCTGTTGATTTTGGTCTGCCGCCCATCAATTCCTGTGGTTCTTGTAGCGATATGGGTCGCCCGCTCGCAGGCTGTGCTGCGAGGACGTCCACCACCACCGCTTACAGCGAATCACATATCTAAACTGCCCGCCAGCGTGAGCACAGCCTTGGCTGTTGACGAGCCGTCCACGACTTCCTGCCCCGACGTAGACAGCTTCGTCAGTCGTCCACTGTGAGCAGGTAGAAAGTCGAGCTTTGCTAGCCTGCCGCCAAGCAGCGGTGGACAGTCTAGATGAGTGTGAGTATGCTTCAGAGTCCGTGAGGGCTCCCGTGTGTGTAGTAGCGCGTGTATGAGTAGCGTAATCAATGTCTTTTGTGTGTGGCTATGTTTTTCCCAACGCTGTGGCTGTGGGAGGAGGTTGAGTGGTCAGAAGCGTCCCCGTGGCCCAATGGATAAGGCATCCGCCTACGAAGCGGGAGATTGCGGGTTCGAGTCCCGTCGGAGACTTTCTCTTTTTGCACACTTCAGATTCTCTTGCCATGATTCATCCGTTTTGCCTTCTACGGGCTGTAGCGATTCATGCCGCTCTGACACTCGCTTTAACTATGCAGTGCGCCCCCAAACTGAAAGGGACCCGTCCGGATGATGTCGCTATGCTCATCAACTCACCCTGTACTTCACGTAAGCTTTTAAGCTCTGCAATCGTCGGCAACATGGTCCTCCACGCCTTTACTTCGTCTGTTGATTTTGGTCTGCCGCCCATCAATACCTGTGGTTCTTGTAGCGATATGGGTCGCCCGCTCGCAGGCTGTGCTGCGAGGACGTCCACCACTACCGCTTACAGCGAATCACATATCTAAACTGCCCGCCAGCGTGAGCACAGCCTTGGCTGTTGACGAGCCGTCCACGACTACCTGCCCCGACGTAGACAGCTTCGTCAGTCGTCCACTGTGAGCAGGTAGAAAGTCGAGCTTTGCTAGCCTGCCGCCAAGCAGCGGTGGACAGCCCAGATGAGTGTGAGTATGCTTCAGAGTCCGTGAGGGCTCCCGTATGTGTGGTAGCGCGTGTATGAGTAGCGTAATCGATGTCTTTTGTGTGTGGCTGTGTTTTTCCCAAAGTTGTTACTATGGGAGGAGGTTGAGTGGTCAGAAGCGTCCCCGTGGCCCAATGGATAAGGCATCCGCCTACGAAGCGGGAGATTGCGGGTTCGAGTCCCGTCGGAGACTTCTCTTTTGCACACTTCAGATTCTCTTGCCATGATTCATCCGTTTTGCCTTCTACGGGCTGTAGCGATTCATGCCGCTCTGACACTCGCTTTAACTATTGCAGTGCGCCCCCAAACTGAAAAGGACCCGTCCGGATGATGTCGCTATGCTCATCAACGCACCCTGTACTTCACGTAAACTTTTAGCTCTGCAATCCGTCGGCAACATGGTCTCCACGCTTACTTCGTCTGTTGATTTTGGTCTGCCGCCCATCAATACCTGTGGTTCTTGTAGCGATATGGGTCGCCCGCTCGCAGGCTGTGCTGCGGGGACGTCCACCACTACCGCTTACAGCGAATCACATATCTAAACTGCCCGCCAGCGTGAGCACAGCCTTGGCTGTTGACGAGCCGTCCACGACTACCTGCCCCGACGTAGACAGCTTCGTCAGTCGTCCACTGTGAGCAGGTAGAAAGTCGAGCTTTGCTGGCCTGCCGCCAAGCAGCGGTGGACAGCCCAGATGAGTGTGAGTATGCTTCCGAGTCCGTGAGGGCTCCCGTGTGTGTGGTAGCGCGTGTATGAGTAGCGTAATCGATGCCTTTTGTGTGTGGCTGTGTTTTTCCCCAACGTTGTGACTATGGGAGGAGGTTGAGTGGTCAGAAGCGTCCCCGTGCCCCAATGGATAAGA